GCCTTGATGTCTACTCGTATGTCGCGCATCTCCTGCAACATCTGCATCTGGTTCTCCAGAGTCTCACGTGCCGTGGCTCTCAAACTGACAGACAGGTAGAACGTCAGGTCCGCTTTGACCTCTGTCAGTCTGCCTTCAAGGCCCTTCAATTTGTCCTCCTTCAAGATAATCAGCCATGTTTTGATCACCGCGTCGCGCTTCCGTCCGTGGCTATTTTCCTCGATGCGCTTCAACGAGTCAAGTATTTCTTTCGCAATGGCTTCACTCTTCTTGGCGAGAGACAATATCGCTGCATCTGTACTGGTCCCAGGGAGTGAAATGGCACGAAGCTCATGCTGGGCATTCCTGAGATTGCTCGACGACTTGTGTAAATTTTGAAGACTGTTAAGAAAGTCACCTTTCGATTGTCTGACTTGGTATAGTGTGGTGAGGAAGCGGGTGCCGTAATCGACAACCTGAAGCACACTGGCTGCGACGCCGAGTGCAGCAAGTTCAGCCATGGTGAAGGGGAGATGCGATGGAGTTCAAAAAGATACGATGGAAAGGGCCAGGATGACTGCATTCATAAATTAATCTCCATTGTGACCAGTCTCTGACCAAGGCGTTTTCTCATCCTTCCTCCTTTTCTTGAGAGCCTCGTGGTGTCTGTGTTTTCAGCTGCTGCGGAAGCAGGCTGTACAGACATGGCGACGTGGATTGATTCGTCAGGCATCGTGTGGCTTGCAAGGGTGAATGTTCGACTCAAACGGTCCAATGACAACTGAAGAAGCAAAAAATATTATTTTGCGATTGAGGATGTGGTTCGCATCATGGCGATATTTTTTTGTTGTGTCAAAAGATGGTCAAGCGGGCGAAGTTGAATGAGGCAGGTTCTATAAGTCTCTGGGAAGCAGCAGGAGCTGGCGGAGGCCATGGTGTTTGAAGGAGCGAGAGCTAAGGAGGCATTCGCCATACGAGACAGACGACAAGACAGGGCGCTTTGGCAATGTTGAAGTCACATTGTCCCATTCACGGCCTCTTTAGCTATAACATGTTTTCGACATACCGACGTAATCTGCAATCACAATTACAGATCAAGTTGGCGCGCGGGACCCGGCGATCATGGGCGGGAAGCGGGTATACGGGTTTAGAGCGGCTTTTGGTAGAGGACCCTGAATCTTTGACTCGATAACCTCCATGATGTATCCGTAGCTAGGTAGTAAAGCAACAAACTAAAAGCTGAAGAACACCCAAACGAAATCGGAATAATGCGCAGAAAGGTTCAGGCAATGTGAACTGCATCTTCAGTCTCGCAGCGTGGCACACGTGATCGGCACTCAGAAGCAGGGCAGCCAAGGAAATGTAAACAACAGGCAGCAGAAGGATGCTGCTTACAAGGTAAATCCCGTTCTTGAATTGTTGACGAGCGCTTATAGGCCCCAGAATTATGATACGACGAAGATAGTAAGCTTGGTTTGCGACAACGTTTGGCTGGCGATACGCCTATGGTTGCCGAGTAGCACTGCCTCAATATGAAACGTAATAGCTGCTGCACGTTGTTTCCAGCATCGCCAACCGTGTCCAGTTCATTGCAGACCCAACTGCATTACGCTGTTGCTCTGCTCGCCTATTCCCATGTCTGTTGGTAGCAATTCTGTAACAGATCAACGGACCCTCGGAGCCGGTGTCAGCCCGTGAACCTCTGCCCGGCCGGGATCCCCGGACAGTAATCCACCGTAAAACCACCAGGGTTCAATATCAGCGCTTAACTTAAATCTACAGACTTCAGTTAGTAAAGCCAAAAGACAAGAAACAAATTACGGCATTGAATACGGTTACATTATTACTCGTGTAACGGCCGTAAAGTCCCAGTCATGCATTTGTAGGTCAGAGGCGTTTTGGGCCACCGCACAGTGTTAGTCCAATGCCCAGATGAGGAGCTACCATTGATGCCTGGCCAAACGTGGAGAAGGATTACTGTCTGCGGCACCGTTTGAATATCGTCAGCGCTGCACTGTTGCCTTTTTTTCCAGCTGAGACTGGAGGTTGGTCGCATGACTTGATGATCCATCCAATTCCGTTCCTCCATCTTTTTCCTCTTCTTCTCTCAACAACAACACACGAGCTTCTTTTCACATCGTCGTTTTTTCTCTCTCGATCGCGAGGCCTACGATAATACGAACGGACTCCTTCAGCCCCTGGAAACGCCAAGGTCGAACTGTGCGTCGTGAGAGTGGGATACCTGTCGTCATTTTTATAGGGACGAACCCGCCCTTGAGACAAAGGACACGCCCACAATTCAAACCCGCCGCCGTCATTCCTAAGCGCTTGCGCACGGCAGATCAATTCTCACTCCTGTTTCTCTTCCCTTTTCCTCCCTTGTATCACCAACCGTCAAGGGATTAAAATCGCATCGTGTCCCTCTTTGTGCCCCCCTCCCCGGGCTTTATCTCTGCATCTCTTATCGCTTTTGCCTCAGAATCTCTTCTCGATATGACGTGGGAACTCACCCAAAGGCGGTTCATCCGCTCCATCAATTCGAAGTACATCTACGGTCGCATCGTAAGTCGAAGCTCGCTCACCCACGCACGCCCTGTTTTTTCCCAACTCTATGATCCGTCGCCACTTTAGCTTCCCCAGTATTTTCCCCAACTACTGTCCAGCTCTATCGTCATCGCTATGTACAAGCTGTTTTTTTTCGCTTGTTCATGATATCACTTTGCGCACTTCTCTACTTTTTTTTCTTTCCTCCTTTCATCAAGTTTTTCTTTTATTATCTCGGTGCTCTTCCTTCTTTGTGCTGTTAGGCCTTAGTTGTGCGACTCGACACTGACGACATCATAACCAGCCTCTTTTGCATACCATCGTCTTTTTGATCGAAATGGCATTCATCGCACGACTTACAGCTCGATTCAACTCGTACTATGACGAGCGACCACGTACGCTACCATAAACACACCTCGCCCGATGCGATATAACTGACATCTTCCAGTCATGACCATGATGGTCACCAACGCCATCCTCGGAGGCGTCGCCGACACAGTCGCCCAATCCATCACTGCCATTCGCGAACGAGCCATCCGCCAGCCAGGCGGTCTTAAGAAGAACGACGGCATTGCTATTGAGATCCACGAGCTCGACCGCAAGAACCCCTTCTATGATCGCGACCTGATCCCCGACTCGGTCGGTCTTCCTCCACCTTTCGACTTTGAACGCCTCACGCGCTTCATGGCATACGGTTTCTGCATGGCTCCCGTACAGTTCAAGTGGTTCCGCTTCCTCGAGCGAGTCTTCCCCGTCACCAAGACCAGCGCTTTCGTTCCCGCCATGAAGCGCGTTGCCTTCGACCAGCTTATCTTTGCGCCATTCGGTTTGGCTGTGTTCTACACGACCATGACTATCGCTGAGGGTGGTGGTCGTCGCGCCGTTTCGAACAAGCTTCGGGATATGTACATTCCAACTCTCAAGGCCAACTATGTTGTTTGGCCTGCTGTGCAGATTGTCAACTTCCGCTTGATGCCCGTCCAATTCCAACTGGTACGTCATTCTTTTGCGCCGGAGAAACCAAGATCGCTAACATGTTTGCAGCCTTTTGTGTCAACAATTGGTATTGCCTGGACAGCATACCTGTCCTTGACGAACTCAGCCTCTGACTAAATTATGCCTGGTGAACGTTTTCAATTGGCCTCGAGCTGGTTGTTGATCGATTTTGAACATGAAGTTGCGTCGACTGTTACTGCTTCAGCCGTCACATAGAAACGGCGTTTTGGGGTTTTTCACATATACTGCACGATTAGGTATGCTCTGGGACCTACAATTGAGAGTTTGAGACTCTGGCCCTTATGCGACAATTGCCTTGTACGGTATTCTTTTTATGGGTTGGGATGGGATGCGGACCATGTTTAGAATAACAGCGTGAGTCTCGTTTGGAGTTTCGGTAGAATTTTACAATGACAAGACGACGTGATCTTTTTTGTCTTGAACATTTTGGACCATACTCAATGTGGTGTGTAGTGAATCTGCATGCGGTATTCTGTCCTGTTAGAAAACGGGTTGATTGTAGATGAAAGTGAATGGGGTGTTGGAGTCATAAGCATGATATGACATCGAGTAATTCTTTTGTATTGTAGGGCTGACGGGTCGGAATTGATCTCGGCCGTCAAAGTGACAGCGTGTAGGTTAAATGGAGATTGCAAGGGAACCCAGCAAGGTGTGAAGAGTGGCATGGTCTGTCTTGATATAATTCACCGAGAAGATCCAGTGGCCTGAGAAAATGTGGCAATGCTTTTCAAGCTTTGATATCCATAGACACGACAGTAATGAGAACGTGTCATGTCGAATTTCACTATCAGATCAGCTAATCGATGTTGTTTCACCATGGGCTTCTTTCAGTTTCCACTCGCGCTAGCTTAGACCTCATATCATGGATGCGTGCATCTTGATGTCGCATTTCATTACCTTCAAACTGTTCAACAAGGTAACTGTACGTAAAAGGCGTGGTTACGGCCCGTGTCTATCCGGGTCTGTCGCATCCTCATCGCCAGAAGCCGGAGGATGATGCCCGTAACCCGGCGATGTTGACGGCTGCATAAAGTGCATGGGCTTAGTGTTCAGGGTAGGCTGCTTAAGAGGTGATGAAGTGAGTGAGTGAGGGAGACAGTGAGTGAGTGATTTGACAAGTGGACCGACCGAGACGAGACCGATCATGTCATATCATGAATAGAAGAATAGGCAATAGTCCACTGACAAGTCGACATCTCACGCCAGATTCATGGCTAAAGTGTTTGCTCCAGGGGCATTCACGGGCCTCATCATCCCACCATCTGCGAGTGCAGCCGCGAAAGCCCCGCCAACGCCAGCAGCGGCAGCGTCATCGCGTTGAGAAGATTGACCCCCACCTTGAACCTAGCAGTGCTATTTACTACCTGACGCTCCCCTCCATAAACTCTCTTCTTCCCTTCTTCTCCTCGACATCACCCTTTGACCTACATCCCCATTCACTCGTACCTCGCATCGAAATCATGTCGCTGTCTAACAAGCTCTCCATCACTGACGTTGACGTCAAGGGCAAGAGAGTCCTCATCCGAGTAAGTTGGCGAGGAAAAAATGCCCCGCGATGGAATGAAGCTGTTGAGCTTGGTTGAGCTCCCCGCATCATATCATCAGATGTCACGACGAATCAGTCGAGGCAATTGCACGAGATGTCCCTCAATCAATTCCTCGATTAGACTTCAATTTAGCTACAGCCATCAAGCTCAACGGCTCAAACGTCCATGCCAAAAAGCCTCAACAATACCCCGCCATCCTCAAACTCTAGCTAACAAAACCCCTCTCAGGTCGACTTCAACGTCCCTCTCGACGCCGACAAGAACATCACCAACAACCAGCGAATTGTCGGTGCCCTCCCCACCATCAAGTACGCCCTCGAGAATGGCGCCAAGTCCGTCATCTTGATGTCCCATCTCGGCCGCCCCAACGGCGCCCCCAACGAGAAGTACTCCCTCAAGCCTGTTGTCCCCGAGCTTGAGAAGCTTCTCGGCAAGAAGGTCACCTTCGCCCCCGACTGTGTCGGTCCCGAGGTCGAGGAGATCGTCAACAAGGCTGAGGATGGTGCTGTCATCCTTCTCGAGAACCTCCGATTCCACATTGAGGAGGAGGGCTCTTCCAAGGATAAGGAGGGTAACAAGACCAAGGCCGACAAGGCTCAGGTTGAGGCTTTCCGCAAGGGTCTGACTGCCCTTGGTGATGTTTACATCAGTGAGTCTCCAATTGTACTACAATCCCACGCTACATGATGCTAACAAGAACAGACGACGCATTCGGCACTGCTCACCGTGCTCACTCCTCCATGGTCGGTGTCGACCTGCCCCAGAAGGCCTCCGGTTTCCTCGTCAAGAAGGAGCTCGAGTACTTCGCCAAGGCTCTCGAGGAGCCCAAGCGTCCTTTCCTCGCCATCCTCGGTGGTGCCAAGGTCTCCGACAAGATCCAGCTCATCGACAACCTCCTTGACAAGGTCGACACCCTGATCATCTGCGGTGGTATGGCTTTCACCTTCAAGAAGACCCTCGAGGGTGTCTCCATCGGTAACTCCCTCTTCGACGAGGCCGGCTCCAAGACTGTGGGCAACCTCGTCGAGAAGGCCAAGGCCAAGGGCGTCAAGCTCGTCCTCCCCGTTGACTACATCACCGCCGACAAGTTCGACAAGGACGCCAAGACTGGCTACGCTACTGACAAGGACGGCATCCCCGACGGCTGGCAAGGTCTTGACTGCGGCGAGGAGTCCGTCAAGCTCTACAAGGAGGCCATCGCCGAGGCCCAGACCATCCTCTGGAACGGTCCCGCCGGTGTCTTCGAGTTCGAGAAGTTCGCCAGCGGCACCAAGGCCACCCTCGACGCCGTCGTCGACGCTGTCCAGAAGGATGGCAAGATCGTCATCATCGGAGGTGGTGACACGGCCACCGTCGCCAAGAAGTACGGCGTCGAGGACAAGCTCAGCCACGTCTCCACCGGTGGTGGTGCCAGCTTGGAGCTCCTCGAGGGCAAGGAGCTGCCCGGTGTTACCGCTCTGTCGAGTAAGTAAATAATATCCACACCTGTTGGGAGTATGATGTCTTATGAGAACCTGTTGATGACGGGCTATGAAAATGGAAAAAGGTCGGGCGGGAAGGGCTAGTCTGTAGCAAAGACTGAACAGATCAAATAATTAAATACCAAATACCAATAGAGGCGCGAAAGCGCTATAAAAACGTTACCTACGATTGAAGCAGTTCGATTGGTGTACTTGTGAGAATGAATTGATGGTGAAATCTGAAGCTTGCAAATGCAGGTGTTTGCGAATATAGCAAACGTCCCGATCGCACAAGCTCGTGTTGCTTCGAAGAAGAAGAATAAAATAAAAGATCCTGCGGCCAGACCGACCATGCTCGCTATGGAATGGGAAACCATTCCAGCATCCTTTACAAAGACCAGTGTCGGTGTGAGCTACCGATCTAGGGGTTGAGGCTCTTGAGACTCTAAATGACGAGGCCGAAAAGAAACCAACAATAGCCTACTTGTTTCACCATGAATTTGTCCGGATATTTCTGTCACTTAGCAAGCATTGGCGGCACATGCAATCGTTCAACACAAACCGACACAGCCAAAGCCCATTCAAACGTTCAAAGGTGCTTCATGGCGCTTTCGCGCGCCTCTATTGGTATATAATTATTTCATCTGATCTGTCTTTTCCACAGACTCGCCCTTCCCGTTCTATAAATCGGTTCGAATCGCGGTATCGTCACAACATAACTCTATCGGCGTTTAGCAGCCTCGACCTTCTTCAATTCCTCCCTATCTAGGTATTAGCTCTAGTCAAACAGTACTCGTAGGTATTGTACGCACCGAAGTTGTTGCGAGAAGTCGTCGCTCGTGTCATCGTCGTCCCAGCTCTCTTCCCAGAGGTGCTTTGTCTCGCCGCTGCCCTTTGCAGCCTCGGTCTGATCCTCTAGCCAGTCTAAAAAGCATCAGTACTTGATGTAACCTAAGAACGTCGGTGGTGGGAGTGGTACCGTCGACGGGAAAGTCCTCGAACTCGTCGTCCTCGCCGAGAGCGGCGGGCTTCTGCTCTGGCTTCTGCTCAGCGGGCTTGTCGTCTGTGGTCTTGGGGTCTGTGGATGCCATGGTGAATCGAGGCAGGTTTGTGATATGGCCTTTCAATTAAATGGGAGGGAGAGAGAGCGATTGTGGTTGTTGATGGAGCTGGAGCTGGATTGGGAGGCTGTGGAGAGCTTGGTGATGATGCGGTAGCTGGAGCCTTGTGGACGAGGCGGGAAGGTGGGGCTCAACGGAAGAATGATCGACCGCTGTTGGCCATGCAATGGAGGATCACCACGGACATTCACTTCAAATCGTAGACCTAATGAGGTGGGAAAAAAGATTAGAACAATGAAGTAAGGGAAGTAATTGATATTCTATGTTGATGTTTAGTGAGATTTCTGTTACGAGACAATGCTCCACGTCTTCATGATGTGTTTGCATAGAGTTTCGATGCTGTTCAAGCTGGCATTTAATCTGGTACTGCTTTAGCTGAGACTGTGACAATGACAGCGCGTCAAAAGAAATGAATGAATTATATTAAAAAAACAAAAGGAATAGAACTCTATGGAAACTCTAGATCTATATGTAGTCCAAATCTGCAAAAGGCAGACCTCACGGGTTGTTGTATGTTTTGCGACCGAGGGGAATCGAACCCCTCTCTAACGCTTGGAAGGCGTTAATGCTAACCACTACACCACGGTCGCTTTTTGGTTGTTGAAGGATGACTTAACATATGAGATTATATCCACAAGGTGAAAGACGATGGATCAAATTCGCCATGGAAAGACCTTGTCAGACTTCGATCAATGAGTGAAGAAATGAGATTAATCTTAGTTCAGTTTCGCTAGAGCGAGGCCTGGCCTTGGAATTATTTATCATATATCTACATGAGGCCCCCCTCTCGCCGAAGCAGCCGAAACACAATGGCCATCATGGCCTTATGGAGGCGCCATTATCAACCACCGGCCCTCAAAACCCTCGAACTCCTCCTCGATAAGTCGCGACGTACTCTCCCATGGCACCTTGAACGCTCCAGAGTTGAACATGGGCGAGTAAATGACCGGCGCACCATCAGCTTCCTGTTCCCGCTCCTCCTCCAACTGCTCCCTCATCTCCTTCAACGCCGCCCTCGTCTGCGCCAAGATCTTTCCTGCACCATCCTTCCCTGGCTTTCCCGTCCTCGGATTCGCTCTTCCGTACCCATAACTAGTGAATAAACACACAATGTGTATCTTTGGAGCTCCTCTTGCTGTGTCTGAAGCTTGAGTCGGAATGATGAAGCATTTCCCCGCAAGACTTCGCGACGGCCATCTCGACCCGTCAGGAATGGTTATGTTGCAGAACTTTTTGTATTCTTTACAAGCAGCAGGGAATACAGTCGCTAGTTCGGCGGCGATTCCGGCGCCCCATTCGGCGATGCAGTTTGTCGCGTGGACGAGGTAGATGTCTGAGGGGAGGGATCGAATCGCGTTGAGGGAAGTTGTTTCTAGTACAAAGATTGGCGATGCCATCCTTTGAAGTTGTTTGAAAAATTGTGGGGTAGAGTGAGGATCTGATGTGGGAGAAGTATGGATGAAGAGCGGTGAATATCGTTGTGTTGGAGAAAATGCCTCTTTTACATGATGTAGGTTGTGTGTTGAGGTTTATCTTCGGGCATGACTCATCGGCAAAACATCCAATGCTGCCACTTCCGTTGATCAACGGAAGGCAGGAAATCACTCTGGAAAGTTGAAGAAGGGTTCTAGTGTGTACTGACATATTACGTTAGTTATTGCGAGGCATCAATGGTAGATATCGTTGATCCCAATTGAAGTCTCGGTCAGGCTGGGTCTGTCTCAATCAGTTTGACACCTACCTACAACACCAAGTAAGTACATGGAGAGACTTGCAGATGAGTGATTTAGTCGCTATTTAATATTCCATGAGTTTATCGGAATAGAAGAAGATATGCAGACAACGCTGCTGGACGTGCAGTTTATCCCTCTGCTTCAATCACTAACGAGCAGCCGGAAGCGGTGAGTAAAGCGCGAGATCTCGACGAAGTGGCTGACAAGGAAGAGAAACAGATCCAGATGATTCATTGAACTAAAGCTTTGGATCGATTCTCAGCAAGAACAAAGCTCACCGGCTGCCAACAACTCGGAGTGTCCCGGGTGCTCCTCTGGCATCAGCCTAATCAGCCCAATTCCTGTCACCTTGCACAACTGTCTCGAAGACGATGAACCTGGAAGGGAACATCAGATGAAAGGAAGTAATGGATTTCCGAATCAGTAGATTGATCGACCTTATCAGTTGCCTTGCCCGCATTGTTGTGTTCTACCATCGATCTGATGGATCACTGTATGGACGAATGACAGCACGCACGGGAAAGTATATGCTGCAAATAATGAGTCGAACAGGGATAGAAAGAGGTGGAAGCTTGGGTGATGTATATTGCAAGGATGATGCAAGTTCAGAGTCTGAATATTTAGAGGGGTGGGGGAAGAAAACGCAGAGCCTTGACCCTAAGTAATAAAAGTATTTAGGTAAATTTAGCCTAAATTTAGGGGACTCTATACTAAGTTTATTTTAGCACCCTATATCGAAAATCGGCATTTTCTTGCCCCCCTCCTGAGACATTGCCCAAGCCGTGATGTAGATCCGGGCAGGATGAGAGGCCAACACTCGCCATTCATTTCTCATCAGTAGCCTGGATACTGAATCCAAAAGCGACAAATAAGAGACTGAGACAAAATGATACAATATGTTTCTGAAAGATGGACCTAGGCTACATATTTATACTGTAGCTCGGCCGTAAAGGTCAAGTTCCATGAAGAGCTTCTTGGTGAGCTGGGACAGGCACATTACCACAAATACCACAGCACCACCACAGTAAATATCTGGTATATATGAGACATATAAGTAGCTCCTAAAGTAAGTTGAGACCTAGTCCGACTTTAATATCTCGTAACCTTGCTCCAGGCCCGTTGAGTGACAAGTGTCAACATGGTGGCGCTCAGAGAGCCAGGGACAAGGGCCTCCACATGTCAATGACAGAACGGCATTGCTCTCAAAGCCAAGTTCTTAAGCGACTTTTCTCCTTGAAGCCAATGCTACGAGCTCCAAAGGGCTTTTGGTGCTTGCTGGAGGATGTGAAAGCCCACTGCCCAGCGAGGACTTGGACCTACGTGATCCAAACAGCTGGTCGCCATAGTCCTCTTTCGTACACTGAGCCAGCAGAGAAGTACTATTACATGAAAGGTATTAGCTACAGAAATACGCTATCAGTATTTAGGAATGGTTACATGGACTAGAAGGCATGTTCAACCTTGCTAGACTCGACGAGCTTGGGTCCTTGGCCATGCTTCGCCCCTGAGTGGGATGACTCTGGAAGCAACGGGTGCTTGTTCCCCTTTCGTGTTGAAATAATTAATGTTGTATTCAAGGAAGCTTGGTAAGTGCAGACGACTGAATCGGGATACTGCAAAGAGACTGGTGGGGAGATCTTACTGATATGTCCGATGAATGACAGTGAATAGCGCGCGATGAGAGGAAGGTTTGTTGATGAAGCTGCTAGGGACTTAATAGAGAGGTTTCCCACGGCTAATAGAAGAGTCTTGATAATGGTACACCGTAAACCTCGATCCATATTCTGCTGAGTGGTGTACGAGTCCGTTAACTCTTATGCGTTTACTCTGATAAACGATGACTTGGGGCTTCATTATGACAGTAGCTCCGTATCAAATCTTGATCCAATACGCAGGAGAAGTCAATAGGCAAAAACCAGCTCATATCAGAAGAGCGCTGTCACTTACCCGTGGGTTTCACAACTACTAGATGTCGCCACTGCCCAGGTTTCGCCATTCGCCCCAGTCCCGTCCCGTGACACACAAACTCCACCCGACATTAACTCAACAACAAGCCTCAGACACGTCACACAGCGCCCCAATGGACCCAGTGGTAGTGTTATATACCAATTCCACTCTGTATTCCATTGTCGTAGAGCAATGACGGAATGGCAATGGCCGGTGTCCAGAGCTCTACGAAGGTAGGTCACAACAACAAGCGTTGTTGGTTCGAATCCCGACATGCTGTGACCTTGTGACCTGTAAAATTAGAATATGCAGTAGATAGCTGTGATATGAGTAGATGTAATGTGTAGCCTCTAGGTTCCATGTGTCATACTACCATATATTACCATTTATCTTCTGCTATCTTTATAATTTTGCTTATTGTAAACACTTTTTATCTTCCCCCTTCCCCCCCCTTTTTTAGTACACATCTCCAAGATTTCACCTGTACACAGATTTTATTAATGTAGTTTGCCAATCTTTTAACAAGTAACTATATACATTTCTCCTTTTATTTATTAAAGCTGCTAGATACCTTTATTTTATATCTGTAGATCTCCCACATTTGCTTTCAACGCGAACTGCCCTGGCGCGAGGAGAGCAGCTTTGTAAGGGAAGTTCCTTGAGCCTTGTTCTTTAGTGAGTTGCTATGATGGTATCAGATATGACAGAGAACGACTAAGAGCAGCTTCTCTGTTTCATTAGCACATGAACCACCAGACAGTGGCTGCCTTGCGCATTTGTCTGATGCATTAAATGCATACGAGCATTGCCTTGTCTTAGCAGCCTTAGAATGCTTTACTGCTGGTTGCTGGATCGAAGAGCACGGGTGAATATAATATAGAGACAGGCCATACAGTGCAATACGGCGGACATTGTCAAGAAGACTCTACAAAGCTTTGTCAGAGTTTGAAGAGGAAGTTGAAGTGATAAAAGCCAGCCATCGTCGTCAATTTCACCGAGGAGAGGGCGCACGCCTGTTCATTTCTTTGGACTGCGAAGTAGAAAGCTCTCTTAATCTTGATGTCTCTAAGAAGATCTCTAATAACCCACGCGCTTTCCCAAGTCCTTCCCTTGAGCGGTACCCATCTCAGTTCTCGTAGCCTGTTGGAGCATCGCGTAATCCGTCCCAACATGAACCATATCAAATCCGGCCTCGATATATCCCTTCGCCTGCTCTCCAGATGACGAATAGATACCGCATTTCTTCCCAGCCTTACGAGAAACTTCCAGAATGCGGTTGATGGCAGCTTTGAGCTCTGGCTTCACAACACCGTTGAGGATCGGGTATCCAATGCTATTACCTACACGACGTGAGCTCCAATGCAACGCCAGTCTCGCTACTGAGTAACTCACCGAGATCAAAAGGCCCAATGAATAGCACATCGATACCTTCAACGGCTGCAATATCTTCGAGGTTGTCTAAGGCAGACTTTGTCTCGATTTGAACCAGCGTAAGTAGACTGTCGTTGGCCTGTTGGAGATACTCATCCGATGTAGGGACAGGCTTGAAGCGATCCATGGAGAACGGGCTTCCAAAGCCACGGTTTCCCATGGGAGGAAATTTGGCCGCCTTTACGATGTCGCGGGCCTCTTGTGCCGTTTGCAAAAGAGGAACGAGGATCTGACGAGTGTTAGCAAGTGGCCCAGTCGGACTCGACACACTGGGCTGTCTCTCACTCCATGCGCACCAGCATCCAGCGCCCCTGGTATATCGTCAGTGACTTAAAAACGATCTGACTAATAAGGCTTACTCTTGATGAGCCATGGCTCCGTGCTCGGGATCCGCACAATCGGCGATGCGCCAGCTGCTGCAACGGCTGGGACGCACTGGCGCATATCTCGATCTACTCACAGTCAGTGCCAGTCTTCGAGTGCAGCTCTGTACGCGAACCATCAAGATCACCGTGTTCACAGTCGATTAATACCCAGTCGCAGCCAGGCGTTTGCGCGAGCATCCGTGAGATGTTGGTGCTGGGCATCATCTGCCAATACCCAAGGCTCGGCCCTGCGCCTTTGTCAAGCGCTGCCTTGAAGAAATTGCCTGAAGCCATTGCTGCCGCTGCCATCGCGAGATGATGTAAGTGAGAAGAAGATTCGTATCTACAAAACTTGTTGTCAAAGATGAGCCCGATATTCTGAAGACTGGTGTAGTGTTTTTGGCTGCAAGAGGGTGTGGTGTGCAGATGAGGAGGGGCCGCTTCGATCTAAATACTGCCAATCCACTCATAGTCCCAGCACTAGATCATTTGTTAGGCTTTGTCTTTTGAAGGGCTCAAGTTGCGGGTTCTACGGTAGATAGTAAGGTAGTTTACGCAAACCGAGGTTCGGGTCGGAATGGCGATGGCTCGGCTTCTCTTCCCGATACACATTGAGATAGACTAGACTGCCTCTTTTTTAGAGGCAGGAGAAAAATGATCAGATATCTCAATTGTGCTAATAAAGGGTGTCAAAAGGCCAGCAGATTATTTGGGAAAGCGCAGCGACATGTTCGACTGATGGTTCTGACGAAGGAGGTAAATCTTCCAGCTCGGGTTCAGTAGATGTATTATTTGCTCGACAATCATGGCTGAGAGCTTGAATAAGTGTAGAGAACGTAGAGATCATGGTGAAGCCAAATACCTGGCGATCAAACAGCTCCGAAGCTAGTTCTTGAGAGGCCGCTCAGCTGTGATCCAGGCGACTGGATATTCAAGGGCCACTCAGAGCTGGCCATGCCTTTTCCTATCCTGTATTTTGGAGGTGGCGATGCCGCGGATGAGATAAGCCCTCACTTACAGCAAATTACTCTACAGCCAAGTATGCACATGCCCTCTAGGGAGGCTAGATACTAGAAGCTCGAAACAAATCCGAAGAGGGATGGATGAATGGACACTGAAGGACTATTGTACCTGGAGGACCGTAATATTACGAGGACATGATAATCCCTGGGCATTGTAGGCCCGAGTGTCGTTCTCAAAGTGCCGATTACTAGGGAAGCATGTCGATGGCAGAGGAACGAACTTGTGTACTGAGAGTAAAAGCCCTGTATCTAGTGCTACAGTAGAGTTCTGTTCAATATTGATCATCCAATTAAGTCGCAATCTTTGTGTCTAGAATGCCTAGAAGCTAGAAAACTTTTACAACATTCTCCTGCCAGAGTGCCCGTAATCCTGTATGTCCAAGCGCCACCCACATCCATCATCTCGTAAAATCTTAAGCCGCGGTCTCTCCATCCACGTCCTTTGGTACCTCTTCTCTAAGGAAGTTCTCTCTCTTGATCTCCATCCAGTCGAGTATATCAGTGGAAACGTCGACGATTTCAGGTTCAAATCCGCCGGAGCAATCCATCATTGACCTCAATGACCTGCCAATGATGCGGTATTCGCTATCTTCGATGATCTGGCCGTAATTCCAGGGTTGGTCAAGAGTGAAGTTCGACCGCAGAATTGTCGTCTCTTTGCCCGAGTTTCTGGTGTCAAATGGATAGTTGCAATGCTCCGGTGGCAAAAGAAGACCTTGGGCGACGCAGTCCGAATGGGCCGTCAGCCAGACGATAAAAGGCTTCATAATTGTGGAAAAGAATCGAGTTGCATGGTTCAAGTCAGGATCGCCGTCAATGGTGAGAGAGTAAGACCTTGAAGGCAGGCCTTTTGTCAAGGCTTTCGAGATATGCATGATGATATTGGTGACACCTTTGGCGATTTCAGAGGACCGGACTTGATGCGTTTGAGGACCTTCCCATCCCTGAAGGTCAAGGCCTTGGTCATCTAACGCCATCGCGAAGCGATCCAGCCTGGCACTTTTGGGTAGGATGTTTCGCCATAGGTTAAGCCGGTGTTCAACTATCAGCTTTGAATTCTCTCGGAAGAATGGGATTAAACCAAGGACATGGCACTCAGGACTGCTAATAGCCTTCCTATCTTCATTTAAAATGAGGTTTGATATGCAGAGTCTCTGTTGCCGAGAGATTTGACCCAGGAACTTAATGGCAACAGCGGCAGCAGAGAGCCGAATCTTCTTCTGGTATTGGTACTCGGGACCAGTATACCCAGGTAGTTTCTCCCTCAATTGATACACCTGTCTGGCGTCTCCCATAGAGAGCTTAACTGTAGCTCTTCCAACTTGTCTTTGACTTCATCCACCGACGGTATTGCCCATGGATCAAAGGTCAGGTTGAAGAACTCCAAGACAGTATGTGAATCAGCCCAGCCGGGTAGAATCTCCTCAATAGCTTGTGAAAACTCCCGGGGGGCCTTCTCTGCCACCCGCCGTAGAAGATAGTCAGCCGCGCGTGAAAAGAAGATAGTCTTATCTGTTTCACTATGGCTTATGACCGTGGAACCCCACCATCTCCCGCTGGTACCTGGCTGTCTCAACTCTCGGAGGGCCTTGAATGCGCGGGAATCCTCCGACTCCTCCGCATCGTCAGGGACCGTGTCCCTGGCACGGTCCCAGGAGGCTATGATTCTAGCTAGACGTTCTCTAATGACGGGAATGTACTGAGAATACTTTTGATCAGGATCCTCGTACATCTCGGGTGTAATACGTCGTTTCAGCCGAGCAAGCATGGCACCTTGGAACGAGGTGTGATGATCCATGATGTAGTCAGCCCATATGGCTTGTTTTCTCCAGTCCTCCCTGTAAAGAGTCGAAAATGTAATCGCGTTGAGAGTGAACGGATACTGCCCGGTTTCGTGTGCGATTGCACGGCAGGTGTACCGTAGCGATAGGTCAATCGGCTGACTGTTGGCCTGTACAAGTTTACCGGAATCTGTATCGTAAACATAGCCACCATTGACTGTGAAGTATTCGTGGTAGATCTGCTCGCGCAGCTCAAGAGGCAGTCCCAAAAGACTGGCCCTTGGGACGGCGGGTTGCTCTCGACTAGACATGGTGCTGAATGATATCTGGGCGAGATGAAGATGCCACGGATGACGACGCTTCGCTCGACGCGATTTGAAAGTGGATGAAATGAGGAGTCTTGATGCGGGGGAAACAAGAGACTCTTTATAACACGAGTGCAGAGGCAGGATGACTCAGAGCGATGTCGGAACTTCCAGGTGGTGCACAATCACAAAACTTTAAATCGCACGCCACGAAGTCAAAAGGAAGGAAATGAACGACAGTCACACGAATCAGAGACCACATATGATGCTAATCTACTCACTTGGGTAATATTCAACTATAGATGACGGCGGCCTATAAGGTTAAGCTTTAAGCTGCAAACACAGACAATGAATGACAACACGATATTCTTTTTCCCGATATAAGCTTTTACCCAGAAGCTTTCACGATGACCAATAAATCTTATTGTAAGCCCTAGGGCATTGCGAAGAGACCAAGAGGGTATAAGAAGGGATATAACCTGTAAAGACAGAGTTAGTATGTCATCAAAGTACACGGCGGAGTTGATGGCCTACCTCGAGTTTGCATCTCTGCACACACCACCACAACACACCAAAACACAACTCCACAAACAACATGTCGGCTGATCCTGGGTTAGTTAGTCTCGTGAAGCATCGGGAGGGGGAGATGGTCTACCAGTAAACCGGACTATTGTCGGCAAGGACCGTACGAGTCAGGAGGCTCGATCCTACATCTATACGGTATTAGAACCATGCAAACTGCTTTCAAAGCAATGATATTAGTCTTACCTCTGTCCCCGTCACCTTCCCCGTGATCTCTGATCTTATCAAAGGGTATATCGCCCATCGCAACAGCTTCAGAGACCTTGAGCAAATCGTGCCCTTATCGATCAAAAGATTCCATTTTGAGATGGATGATATTGACAGCATTGTGGTTGTCACTGAAGAAGCTCCATTAGAAACAGAAGAAGCAGGAGGTGGTCAGTCTCAACTTACAATTCGCCCTCTTCGGTTGCGAGGCATTCGGTGCAGCCGCCAACACTCGCCAGCTCATGAAGTTTGCTGCTCATGAGGCCGATGAGCTACGCAAGCTTGTACAACACATCGAAGATGGCAAGGATGATACCGACGAGATAGAGGCGCTGAAGAAACTGTTCCAGTTGGTTAGGAATGAATACACGAAACAAGGCTGCACATACAATGCCGATTGGATGATGGAGCTCGTGACTCTCTGAATCGCTCTGGCAAGGAGGCAGGGCATACTAAGAGTTGTCAGCAAAGGGAGGAAGGTAGCATGCAGATGGGAAGACGTGCATCTCGTGATTGGAAGGTCGATGATTAGAGTTGTCGAATGACTCCAGGAAGGATCATGTGCGTGCTGTGCTGAGCTGGTCAGTCGGAGAGCAGATCGAAAGAGATGGTCGGCACATACGCGGAAGGTTAAACTGTCTAGTGACGGTGTCAGTATCTATGCGAAAAGATGCAACGGATTGGGTGGAATGCGACTTACCGAAGGTTTTGTTGACTGAGTCACTCGGGCTGGACTGGGCGCGTCAGGAAACGGTGTCTGAAAGCTGAAGCGACATGCGATGCCGATACATACCTGGGAAAGTTAAATTGTCTGACGATGGGGTCAGTAAATGAGCGACAAGACGTGCTGGGTTGAGCGGATTGCGGCTTACCGATACTTTTGCTGAGGTGAGTCACATCCGGGCTGGCTAGAGGCGTCAGGAAACTGATGTGCGATAGCGGATCGAGAAGAGGGGCATGGCGTACCGACTGGAGGCTTCGATAGCTGAGAGAATACAGGGCTGATCAAGTTCATAAGATTCTGGGAGGGCAGGGTCAGTTATGGTCAAGACTTGCGCTGCAGAGGGCTGGATGACTTACAATACACGATAATTTTAAACACGATGGGGTCCCCCCGCATTGAGCGGGAGGGAAAAGAGGACTATTCCACTAAGGAATGGTTAGGTTACCTGCCTAGGTAATGACTTACACCATTATCTAGGCAAGGCTATATCCTGTTGGGGATATTATAGCTATGAAACGTAGGCAGCGTTTCGTGCAGAGTTAAAGGGAAGGCAACTAAGCGTTGCTGAAGGGGATTGCCTGGCGTAGCGCGGTAGGTGGATATAGCGAGGATGCGGCTGTAAATTGCATGCGGCAATTCTGTTGATTGTAGAAGGCATTGAAGCCTTGTTGAAAGGGATCGGCGGTGTCACCAACTCATAGGAGATGGCGGTCAGGCTACGTGATTGCGTTTGACTCCCATCCCGGCGGCGAGGCGGGCAGCTGAGACTGATGATGCATCGCGAAGCCAGAGGATATGATGGGATTGCTAATACGAATCGGGAGCGACGACGGGTATAGTGGGGGAAGGGATGTAGAGGAAGGCGGTTGGGCCTCATCGAGGGAGGGGGTTCGCCGGTATCGCGAAGACCGGAGGATATGACAGGGTTTCGAAGAGGCATATGGCGGTTCGAATAGTCGTTGAAGGCAACTAGGTCTCATCTAAAGGAATCGCCGGCGTCCCTGGGCTGGCGGAGATCGTGGTGCCGCATGAGCGCGTCGGGTTTCGCGTGGTCGAAGAAGGCAGTAGGGCCTTGTCGAGAGCAAGCGTGGGCATTGTGAAGCCGGAGGATAGGGTACGGTTGCAAAGAGGCATGCGGCGATTTGTGTGATAGAAGGTGGCTAAATGTCTTCGGAAGCAAGCGGCTCTAACTCGTATGAGGTCGTGGTGCGGGCTGAGCGCGTCGGATTCCGCCTCGGCGGCGGAGAGGGCGCCTGGGGCGTTTGGGGCGTTTGGGGAGATGTCGAAGTCGTCGCCGGCGAAGCGCGCGGTGCAGAGCGACGGCGTGGATTGTTGGTGGTAGTGCGTGAGGTACGTGAGGTACGTGAAGTGCGTGTTCGGCGTCTTGCTGTAGACGAAGCTCTCAGAGTGTCGAGAAAGCCCTCGGGGCGGGGCGAAATGAGATGCGGAAACACGGGGAATCGGGAGGACCTTTCTCTGACAGAGTCAAACATTGCGAGATCGAAGTAAGAGATGGCCCATTCGGCGACGATTTTGGCGTCCTTGGTAAGAAGTGTTGTGAAGTCATTGTGGCCTAGCCGCTGAAACAGGCCCATTCTCGCCTCACGCAGCCTGGGGCATTCAACAAGAAGGTGGAAGACTGTCTCTCGGGAACGTCCGCAGAGACACCTCGGGGACTCGAAGCCAGGAATGCAGCAGTCGTGAAGATACTTCCGGAGGCCGATGCGCTCCGTCCTGCATGAGAACATCATCGTGCTCTGGGCGCGAGTCATGCCCGAGTAGTACTTAAGGTTCTTCTTCCCCCAGTCCTCGGTTAAGGCTATCGGTAGTCTTAGGTCCTTGGGATTCCTACCAGCAGCCACCATATTGTCTTTCCGTTGCTGAACATACGCCTTCCATCTGACCTCACACTCTTTGGTGTCCGTCTTCTTGACCTAGGCCTTGATGATCTCGCTTCGCTTCTTGTGATCTGCCCATCGCTCCTTAGCCTTATACCTCACCTTGGGGTCTGGACTGACTCTTGCTCTGTGATAATGACCCTTCTCGGCTGCTTTATGAATCTTTGTCGCTTCGGCATCCAAAATCTGGTACGGAGTTTTGTTGTTACCTGGTGCCCTGCTCTTTTTCCACCCGTCTCGCGAGATGAACCTCCATCTGGTGTCGTGAGAAAGGAGACTCTTGACCCGTTGTTGAGAAGCTTGGGAATGGAGGACAGTCATGATGTTCTCAACGAACAACTCTTTCTCCATCATCTCGGCTGCGGTGTCTAAGACAGCACCAGAAACCTTGGTCAGACATTCCTTGTTCAGTGACTTAAGTTGTTTTTTCTGATCCTCTCTCAACCCATACTTGACGGAACAGTGCCCCTTGTCTCCTCTCCGCAGCAGGAACCATGCGCCACAGGCATAGGTGATCACAGGCTGGATCATGGTCAGGTAATAGAGTCGCATGGTCTGCAAGGTCGGCCCTGTCGTTTGTTTCGAGATGATTGACAGATAGCCAAGCCGCTTCCTGACCTTCTTCTCAATGTCATCGATATGGCATTGCCACCTCAGCCTCTGATCAAACATGACACAAAGGATACGCAACTTTGGTAGGGGCAATCCGTCATACCCTGGAATGTTGGACCTGAAATTCGTTTCAGGTTGGTGCCGTTGAGGCCCAATGATATGCATAAGGTTGTACTTGTGAGGCCCAAAGACGACCTTCAGCTGCGCAGCAACAGCCTCTACAGAGCTGTGAAGTTTCTCGATGCCTTTGCAGTTGATCTCGTAACTCTCAGACACTGCGATAAGGTAGATATCGTCGACAAAAACGAATGCGTACAGGTACACCCAGTGAGACTTGCCATTAACCTCCACTTTATGGAGACCAGTGCATGTTTCCTCCAGTAGGGGGTTAGAAAAGAAGCTGAACAGAATGGACGACGATGGCGAGCCTTGGGGAATACCAGTGTTTAATGGGAAGGAACCAGAAACAATGCCGGGCATGCGCATTGTGGCGGTTCGTTCAGAGAGCATGTTGCGGACCATGGTCACGCACCATGGAGGAAAGCCCTTGTCGACTAGATTTTGTAGGAGACGGTCGCGGAAGACGGTATCGAAGGCTGAGCTCATGTCAAGGCCGAAGATAGTAACGACATTTCCAGGGTGAAAGGCCCAGGTGTCATAGATGATGGTGAGCAAGTACTGGAGCGCTTCTGCAGTAGATCTACCGCCAAACTGACACTTAGGTAGAAGGTCCGGGTTGGCCCTCAGCACCTCGAGCATCTTATTGGCCAAGACTCTATCAAGAATCTTGCCGAAAGAAGATAGTAGAGCGATAGGCCGCCAAGACTTGGGATCAGCGATCGGTCTGCCTGTTTTCCGGACCATGACTAGAATCGAGTCTTTAAAAGGCAAAGGGTAGTGAGAGTAGAGTAGGCAAGAGCGGAATAGTCAGAGTAGCCGAGATCGTAGGACTTCACCACCAAGCTGAATTGCTTCGTAGGGAATAAGATCAGGCCCAGGAGCCTTGCGCTTTTAAAGGTTAGAAATAATCAATCTCAGTTCCTCGTCGTCAAGATCCTGCGACATAAATAACTCAGGTTCGCTATCGGCTGGCCGGGGTCAGGGCTAGTTAGGTATGTTCTTGGAGTACGGTTGGTCATGGCCGGGGAACTTTTCCGTCTTCATCATCTCGATCTTGTCGTGGTCCGATTCGGCTCTCCGGTCACCACTCCTGAGGGTTGGTGTCTGTGAAATCTGGTTCGGCTCGCGTATTTTCTTCGAAATGTCTGCAAGCTCATAGGCACGCTTAGTAGTCGCTGATTTGTCCTCAGTGAACATCTCCCACAACTCCTGGTTGTATTTGCTCATCTGGCGTTGGATCCTACGTATGCTGGCTAATGAATGAGCGTTCTGAGGACCTGCCTTGAGAGCATCCAACTTGGCAGTGTGTTTCTGCATACGCTTGGCCAAGTAAGTCAGTCGCCGTGGCTGCGAATTTCGAAAGCTCAATGGAACGGTGGCGTGGATTGCTTCGCACAGACCAAACATGATGTCAGTCGTATATTTATCGATCTGCTCGCCGTTGTTGAGAGGGGCATCGAGTGGGGGCAGTGACGGTTCCAAACTCGTCTGAAAGACTTTGGGATCAACTTCTTGCCATTGAGGAACGACTCTGATGTGAGTGCTGACCCGTCGTCGGAGAACAGTTTCGATGACCCGGTGATCGCTCACGAATCCAGGAACCTGCAAAGCCTTGCAAGAGAGTACCGATAGAACGAGCTTTCGGCTCGCAAACGTCAGATCGATCGTAGACTTTTGTTGATCAGTGTCCTGAGACTTTGAGAACGTGATTTCCTCAGGTGTCGTTTGTAATGCGAAGCCAAGTCCTTTAACACCAGCGGCAAACATCCTGGACTCGGGCGTAATTCTCTGAGTAACGGCGCCATTTACCTTGATGCTCCAAGACCCGTGGTGATAGTTGAAGTCGCCAAGTAAGACCCCGTCGCACTTCTTGTTCTTGTAAGATGACAGATACTGAAGCAGTGCCGGGACGTCCAGTCGATTGTTGTGGTTGTAGACGTTATGAATGGCAAGGAGCCCCGATGAGGTCTTCAGCTCAAGAGTGGCGAAGATGTCCTCATTATCACCAGGATACGACCGAACTCTCCACTGATAAGTTCGAAGGGAAGAATGAACGTAGAAGCCCACGCCGCGAATTCGAACCCGAGAATCACGCTGCTGATCATTCTCATAGGAGAAGCCCTTTTGGACGCCCGAAAGAACACGGAGAGGACCCGAAAGCTCATCCAGGGCGGTGAATAAGATACCCTGGATCTGGGGAACAGCATCCTGGGCCTTGGGAATGAGCTCCTGAGCATCTTGGACACTTTTCATGGCGACAGAAAGGGTTTCCTGAGCCTTGTCGAAAGTATCATGATCTATAGCAAGGGCATCGCGGGCGGCAGAGAGGGATTGAACGATATCGAAGAGGGCTTCTTCAATCTCGGCTGGGGCATCCATGAGGTCTTGCATGGCATCGGAGACCTTGTCGAGGGAAGAGGAGGCTGCACAGATAGCATGGCGTGCAAGTTCGATGCTCTTGATTTGAGAGGCTTCTCTGGTAGAAGTCTCATAGTCATCCTCAGTAATGAGTCCCAAGTCGGGATCCCAGAAGTTGTAACCAGGCAATCGTGTGAAGTCCTGTTTCCGGGCAAGATCTTGCACTGCCACGATAAGAGGCTGTCTGTCTGCATCTCGTCTGAGGATCTCGTCAAAAAGGGCTCTGACACGTTGTACAGAGATTTTGACATTGATGCTGAAAAGGTGCATTGTCTCAAGTAGAACCTCTTGGTCGACCCAAGGTTGGCGGTTGATGGCCTCAGCCTCACGCGCACATCCCTCGTCGTCTGCGTAGCCTTGCATATCTTCACCAAGACTTGTGGTAAAGTCAGGATTTTCCATGTCCACATCAGCCTCGTGATGCGGAGTGGAGGAAGAGCTCTGATTGAAGCACATGGTGTCTGGGAGTCCGAGTGAAGACAATGAAAGGACGCAGCGAGAGCAAGAGAAGCGGAAAACGAATTGATGAAACTGAAAGTGAACACTCGCCAGCAATTGAACAAGTGAAGAAAAAGCAGAAGGGATTGATTCAGTAGAATGACGTCCGTATTGGTAGTGAGCGAGAAGTTGAGCGAAATTTTAGTTGAGAACAGATTCTCGAGGGATTTACTTTCAGTCTTTGAATGTTCCTCTCCTTCTGTAGGTCTCAGGTCTACCAGTCCCTCCCGCCCCAGCACCACGCAGAATGTCATCGCGGACCTGTCTAGCCGGGCTATTTCTAAGATAAAACTCTAGACCCTTACCCTAAGTATTAAAAATATTTAGGCAAATTTAGGTAAATGTAGCCTAAGTTTAGGGGACTTTTTACTAAGTTTATTTTTAAGGTTCGGTGTTTTCTTGCCCCCCTGAGGCCAGTCTGGCGACACTACCTACCCCAATTGCTCAAACAGACCCTTCCACGGACCGGGCCGTTCCTATGGCTTCTCCAACGCCAGTGCGAACCCACCAAGCGGCTCGCGCTCCTGTCATCCCACGGAATCACTCGGCTTCTTCAATTGAAGACACAGTGAACATCACGGATGAGTCTCCCTCCACATCTTCTACTCCATTGTCTGGCCCGTCAGCTTCGGCAACTTGCTCCCAGTCTTCCTCATCTACTGGGAAGGATAGGGCAATCAACTCGGTTCTGAAGCACTTAGCGGAAGACCTTGACTCCATTGACATCGGCAGGCCAAAGAAGAAGGCTCGAGTGGCACCGTCGGAGGAAGATGCGCCACAGATTCTGTCCAAGCATTTGCCGTCTCCCGGCTCGCCAGATTCCTCGGCTTCCAAGGGACCCCGCAAAGTTGCCTGAACAGTCGGGACCTTCGCAGGCACTGGTGTCTAGCCGCCCTCATGCAGAGGTGACCGTTGAGACGCCCCAGAAGCGGATAGCGCAAGCTATCAAACCAAGACCTAAGAGCCTGCAAAGTTCGTCTTGGGCGACTGTGCAACAGGGCACACTCGAAACGCCCTCGAAGAAGAGGGCGAGCCCGTCGCAGGCCAAGTGTTTAGCCGCATCTTCTTGGGCAGGGCATGGAGAGAAGGATGTACTTCCGTCCTCCAAGCCGAGTGTCAATCAAGGGCTTCGACACTTTTCGAGAGGTCAAGGACTATATGAATGACCCAGACCGTCGTGCCAGACGTGAGTGACATCTTCGAGACCGTTCTCCAGTCCTCATTACCCGGTTTCTTGAGCGACGTGAACGGAATCCACTACCAAAAGTGGCTGAAGCGCAACGGCCTTGAGCATGGGTATCAAGATTGAGACAGTGGCCAACCCGGCTGTATCAAGGCCGAGCCAGGTATCAGGCCAGATCCTGTCAAGTTCGAACAAGGTATCAAACGTCAGACCGGTCTTTATATGGAAGAGGCACCTGAGGAAATGCACAACGGTGATACTATGACCATTACCCGACCTAGGACCGGTTTTCGCTTCCAGACTGCAGATTGGCTTGATACGCCTTTGCGTACAGGCTCTATCACCAGCTCGAGCCCTCAGTCTTCATCTGGTTCATCTTGTCGCCTTGAATCTGATGGCGCGTCTCAATCCCCCCCGGGCATCCGGGCGTGGTTTCATCCGACCCCACGCAGATTCTTCAATTCCAGCTCCCCTTCGCCCGCTGTCCCTCCGTCCGGGGGATCTGGAAGTTCTCAAGAGAACGGTTTCGACTTTATTGACTTGACTTCGGGCACTCAGGATGATCCTCTCGTCATCTCTGACTCTGAGGACAGCGACATTGAGTAGGGTTCTGCGCTTTTTCTGGGTATGCTTTGGGTTTCCTTTTCCTTTTCCTTTCCGGGTTTCTGTGGAGGAGGTAGTGTTGGCTGCAGGGAAGTCTTTGGTCTTTATGTTTCTTATCCTGTCACTCTTTAAATCCATTTACTGTTGCTTGAACTATATTCCTCGTACCATTTGCGTGATGTATCTCTCGAAGTCACTGAAACTTATATTGTATCCTGCCGCCTTCGTTCGCCCCAGTGAGATATCTGGACCTTTCCATAGCCAGCCCTCAGAAAGCAAGAGAACCTCTTCTATTATAGCACGGTGCTAAAGTAAGCTGGTCTGAAGTAATAATAATTTGGTCTTAGTTTCCCTAAGCTTCTTTTACCCACACTCAGAGATGGACAAGTAGGAGATGACCAAAAGGGGTTTTAAGCATAAGCTTTGCATATGCACTTGGGTAGAGGGTGAGTGAGATACACGCCAATTGGATGTACGGGCTACCTCATGCATCTGTGGCGGCTAAAATGAGATGCCCAAAGGCGGGGAATGTCTCACTCCAGCCCGGTGAGTCCGAAGAAGAGAACGACGAATCACTGGCCAAAACACCAAAGATGTCCTTCTTTATCATCATCCAACTCTTCCATCACAAAGTTCAGAAGTAATTTGTAGCACGCCTCGAGAGAAACCTTGGGTAACTATGCAAATCAGCTCAATGCAAAGCCTACGGGCAACACTCTTACAAGGCTTACTTGTGTTGGCTACCCCCGCAGTGGCAAGTTACCTCTGCTCAACAACACCTCAAGCATGTTCAATTCTCGCGTCGGCGTTACCAGCTGAAGCGTTCGTTGCGCCAAACTCGACGGGCTACGAGGCAGTTCAGAGTAGCTACTGGAGCGAAACGGCGGGTGGTCTGAGCCCGGCTTGCATCGCACGCCCCAAAAGCACAGAGCAGGTGGCCTCCATCGTGAAGATACTCTCGTCCTGCGGTAGTAACGTCCGGTTTGCCGTTAAGAGCGGGGGTCATGGATCGTGGCCCGGCTGGTCCAGCACCGACGGTGGAGTTCTCATTTCGTTGGACTTGATTGATGGAGTCCAGAATGTAGCTGACAGTGGCTATGCTGTTGTAGGGTCCGGCGCGCGATGGGTTGATGTGTACGAGGAGCTTGAGCCTCACGGGGTGACTGTCATTGGGGGAAGATTCGCCTCAATTGGCGTTGGCGGGCTTGTCGTTGGAGGAGGCGTTAGCTACTTCACCGCACTGCACGGCATGGCTTGTGACAATGTTCTCAACTACGAAGTTGTCCTTGCGGACGGGACCGTCGCCAACGTCAGTCAAACATCCAAACCCGACCTCTTTCGTGCACTCAAGGGCGGTGGAAACCAGTTCGGCATCGTGACGCGCTTCAGTCTCAAGACATACAAGCAAACGACACAGGTTTGGGCCGGCATCTTGACCTTCTCTATCGACAAGGCCAGTCAAGTTTTCAACGCCACGCAGGCCTTCATCGCTAGGCACGATCCTCTATCGCACATGTACCTCAGCATGGGAGGGGGCTCCAACCCTCAACTGTCATTTATAAACGTCTACGTCTTTTACAACGCCTCTTCACCACCGACCGGCGACGCAAATCCTTTTGCAGCCTTTTACGCAGCCGAACCAATTGCAGACACAACCTCCACACAGAACTACTCAACCCTGATAGCATCCAACAACAATGGCAACACGCCGCAGAAACGTTGGTTGATCGGTGGCCACACATTCCCTAACTTGTTGGCGCCGTACGGCGCTGATCTGTACCTGAAGCAATGGCAGGCCTTTCGAGACATGGCCAACGCCACAGCAGCCGGTGATCAGAACCTGCTCTTTTCCATGGCGTTGGTGCCAGTACCAGCACTTGCGATGCGAGCTGGCGAGAACGTCACAGGCGTAAAGAACGTGCTTGGCCTCGAACCTGACGCTGGCGATGCCGTTTGGATCGACTACACGCTAGCCTGGCTGGATGTCAAGGACGACAGTAAGATGTTCGGGTTTGTCGAGCGCATCAGCAATGCCGGAGATAGATTAGCAACGTCCTTTGCGCCTGGAGTAGCCAGCACAAACGCCATCCCGGGTGCTGTAACAGCCAATGAGGCAGAGTTTTACCGGACTAACCCGCGGTACATGAACTACGCGCTTCTGGACCAGCCTGTGCAGTCTAGTTACGGTAAGAAGAATAAGCGGTTCTTGGAGCGGGTACAGAAGCGATATGACCCCAAGGGGTTATGGAGAAAGAACGGTGGATTTCTGTGGGATTGATCAATGTTTTCCTTGTGGAGGGGGAGGATACGGAATGTTATTACTGTGGTGAGTAGGTCGAAGTAAATGATTTCCATGAGACTTCGACTTGTCGTCTATGCAGAACACGAGATAATTGGCATTAGAGACGCTGTCCCCCTGAGGCTGCCACGTTATATAACGAAGGAATTTACTATTGGGTGTTGGATCAGATGTGTACCCGTTCTAGCCTGAGCTTAGGGAGTAAGAAATCACAAGACCTAAATTTAGGATAACAAAATAAATTCGATAAAAGGTCTCCTAAACTTATCCTAAATTATACTAAGTTACATAAATCTTTAGGCTTAAGGCCTGGAGTTTTATTGCCTCCCCTAGCCTAATGCCTGGCGCAAGTATTAATGACAACGAACATCCCTTTATCGTAAAGAAGGGGCCTGTCCTCCATCAACCAACTATACGGAGATAGCTACAATGTTATCAAGTGGCAAGGCTGAATCATCAACATTCTCCAACCCATCATCGTCGTCCTTGCCATCATCACCATAATCCTCATCCTCATCCTCATCCACAACCCTCATAATGACAACCTCTCCACTTAAAATATGCTTACAATGTCTCTTTGTCTTCTTCCAGCACCTTTCGCAAAGCGTTTTGTCCCAGCATGTCTTGCAGCGCCATATCATCTGACATTTCTTAATGTCCTTCCAGCATGCCGAGCAGCCACTCAATACCGAGGGTTTGTCCGTCGGGAGTGCTTCACTGGCGACAAGAGTGACTTGGGTTGAGTTTGTTGGCCGCGGGCAGGTTGTGCAAAGGAGGGCATCTGGGGATCGGTAGGCTGAGTCTGATGAGACGAGACCAAGCCCACAGGCCGTGCAGCGTGATACGGGAATGCGATGGGGATGGTAAGACATGGCTCCGAATACAGTAGGCCTTTTGAAGTTTGATCATGAATCACGAAAAGAAACAGGCCGTGAAACAATACCACATTTTGTACATAAAATCACCAAGAGGCCCTTGATGGAAGTAATGGGAGATTGCCGAATTGGGAAAGCTGGTGATGTCTGATTGGACACAAGCGGAACTGGTCAAAAGCGTTGAAACGCTCGAACCAATCAGAGTTGGAGAGCCAGTTAACGAGCCTGGAAATATTCCGCCCTGCTTCTTCACATCGGGGCATATTCGCGGTGATGGACTTTTGAAATGGCTTGACTGTATAAAACGCAAAGTACCCACTCAACGGGCATCGTTGAGAATTCCTCAATGTAAACCGGCACCAATGCACCCAGCTCTCCGTATGAGGCTTCCCAGTAGAATCTCCCTTCAGCGAATTCTCCACCGTCAACACTTTCAGCATTGTTCTTTATAACTGTGCTTTCTTTGGTTTCTTAATATGGAAAGTCGCCTCTTTGACTTATAATTATCCCTTTTAACATATATATTAGTCTCCGACGGGCACAGAAATAATGCTTCTAACATGATGGCACGCTGGAGCTCAAGAGTAAAGGCCAGACTGACCCAAAGTTCCCGGCGTCTCCAAGCAGAGTGTGTGAAGTTCACCAAGCGAAGATACTCTACCAGATAATTAGCCGTTAAGTCAACGGCGATGCAAGACACTTATGTAAATTACGACTTCAGAACGCTTGCGGATTAATTAGAAGCTTCGAATTGCTATCGCTTGGGTGTTATTCATTTGCCTGGCGTGGACTTTGTCGACGGGGATGCAGAGCAATGGAGACCTGTCGCATTGCGATAGAGGATTGCGACATCTACAAGTAGATGAGCCAATCGTATTATTTAGCTATAAATAAATAACGTTGATAATAGAGTTATAATACAAGGGCTGATCAAACATTTGCAAGCTGCCAAGACCGTATCCTGGAACTCGATGATGAAACCGGCCAAGAAGTTTCCCATTGGCCCAGCAAGTTATTGTCAATGCGCTCAGCAACAGAAGATCAATGCGCAACTCAAACATCAACAAGCGGAACTTCAGTATCCGGAGTGAGATAAGATTCTATTTTCTTTTCTATCGTAGCAGCAGTACTTTCAGAGTCCCAGTATATCATCATAATCATTATGTACCGCTCGCATTTGTTGATCCATGCACATCAATATATTCGTAAATTTTAACACCATCCCAATGTTCGTTCCGTAATGAATGAAAGTCCGACGAACATCACCACCATTCCTTCCCCAGTATAGTACAGGTATAAAAAAAAAGAACCGTTATGAGGATAACATAATCCTGAGTCGCGTCTTTTCCGTCGCGTGGTTTCATGTCTATTGTGTTCAAACACTTGTAAAGTCTAAGCGAAAGCACCGACAACAGACATTCCAAAGGCTTGGCAGAGTTAGCGAGGGCACGGACGATGAGATGGGGGAGAGACTTACCGCCGAGGCCGATCCAGCAGAGAGCGGCGATCTTGTCCTTCTTCTTCATGAGGTGCTGGGCTTCTTCGGAAAGGAAGTCCTCAACCAGGAGGTTGACCAGAGCAGCGTAGATGAGAAGACCAGAAGAGCTGGGGATTGTTAGACATGGTTGAGAGAAGTGGTTTGAGGGAAACTTACATAGAGTTGAAGACTCCAACCATGATTAGACCGAGTGCACTCTCGGGGTCGTAAGAGTTTCGGCTGGCGATTCCGATGGCCTGGCCGATAGGTGCAGTGGAACCGAAAGCCAGAACGAGAAGCCATGGTCGGAAGCTTCCGCGGGGATAAGGCACAGCAGCGATACGAGCTCCGAGACCGAGACCCTCAAACATCTGATGGAACATAATGGCAGTGAGAAGGACGACGAGACCATCAGTTGTCATGGCGATGGTCATTCCGACGAAGACAGAGTGGAAGAGGATACCTCCCTCGAGAAGGGTGATGTTCATTGACATGCGCTTGTAGGTAGCCTGATCAATTGTCTGGCCCTCCTCATCAAATGAGGACTGGCTGACTTCGGGACTAAGCTTGTCATCGATGATGGCTTGGTTGGAGTACTGAGTTGACTTGATCATGTCCATCATTTCAGAGCGCTGACGAATGTATTGTTCATAGAAGACGACGAACCAAGCGGGCATGGAAGAGTTGCTGTCCTGCTCATAAGAGTAGGCGTGAGGCTTATTCTCCTTTTCGTACAGCTCACGAGCCATGGCCTTCTCGTAGTCAACATCATCGTAGTCGTCAGAAACGTTGGAGTCGTTGCGGGCGTGAGAATGGTTGAAGTTGGCAGTCTCGGGGAACGGGCGCTGGGGTCGAGGAGGAGGAGGCTGGACGACGGTGACTGTAGTGCCGGTTGGACCGCCGTGGGAGTGGCCGCCCGTCTTTGCGTTGAGGTAGAGCTCGACCATGAAGAGGAGGAACATGGCGGCCATCATGATGACACCGGGCATGGCGGGGTAGATTTCGGTGAAGAGGTCGGGGAGACAAGGATCAGTGAGACTGCCGAATGCTGTAGGGAGCAACTGTAGATAATTGTCAGGTGAGTTTGGACCAGTAGCTCGTGGGTACTCACATGAACGAAAGCCGTAGCAATCAAAACTCCAGTACCGAAATGCTTGCAAGCAAAGAAGACCTTGGGAGGCATCTTGAGCCACTTTATTCTCTTGGCAGCGACGGGAAAACCAGCGCCTGAGAATCATTAGCGATTGAGATGGTATATCACGAAAGACTTGACCTACCGAAAGCAGAGACAGTAAATACGGCGACTGTTGAACTGTTAGATCGCCAAGTAAACACGTCGCTTATCACGGTGGAGTAGTCCACGACAAGCTTTCAGCGCGTGGAGCACTTACAGAGACCTCCGACATGCAAACCAAGAGGATAATCCTCACCCGTCCCCGAACCACCACATTGAGGCTTTGCAGAATCCATATTGAATTGAGACCGAAAAGAGATGAACCGTTTCGTAAGGATCGTATCAAGTTGTATTACGAAAAAAAGAAGAGAAACCAGTTCCCATTCGAATCGAAATAAAAAGACTAGAAACAAACCAAGGAAGAATAGAAACAAAATTCCAAGGAAAGAGAGAGAGAAGAACACAAGGAAACGTACAAAGGAAATGTATGTCGCCCAGGTACCAGCCTAGAACAGAGAGTGCAGAATAACGAGAGAGAAAACCCCAGCTTGGCGGGATCTGAGTTCATCTTTATAGTCTTCTTGGCGACGTTATAATAAACTATTTTAAGTTGATAGATTACAAAATTGAGGCGACTTTTGATGCGAAACGAGCATCGTGTCACGGCACAGTTTCAAGCGTCACTGTTTCACTCAGCTACGGTACTTTTTTTTTGGTGTGTCTGTCTGGGCGGGAATACCTTGTAGCCGAGACCGTTTTGGTTTGGCGTCGCGATCTGCGCGCTACAAGTTAAGCATGTTGACGGGAGCGAAGGGCAGATCTGGTGTCGCAGGTTGTGAAATTCTTTGACGTCGTAATGGCGAGTATACTCCACAGCAGGGGGCGGAACGTCTAGTTTCCGGCGGTCCCCTTATTTCTTGGCCGTCTCAGTGTCTGTGGTGATCATCTGGGGAACGAGTCGTTTATTGTAGATATCGGCACTTTTGAACGAGAAGAACCCCGCTGATATAGTGTATCATGACCTGGGTATAATGCTCTTGGCAGTGTGTCACTGCCAACGCGTTCCCCTTCCCCCGCAGGATGAAGTTGTTCTTGGCTATCTAGAAATAGAGGAGAGAAAGCTTGGTATTCCAATTAAAGAACATTGTTGGTTTCTACTAACGTCTTATCTTGGGGCAGACGCTGATTGATCTGATAAGTTTCTATACTCCAGCCTTTTAAGTTTGACTAGTCTGCGCTCAGATTCTTGGCGTGTTACTCAGCGGAAAAGAACTGTTTTCTCTTCTCGAGGGTCTTCTACTCAAGAGGAGATCACTAGCTTATCATTTGTATCAGATAACGTCTGCTGAGGAAGATCCATTGTATCAATTGACTTGCAGAGTCGTATACAGAGAGAGATTGCGACTCTGTAATGACTCGGTCTGGTTTCGGCTTGTACCGTCGGGGAGCACGGGTCTCAGCGTTGACGATCCACAGTTTCTTTTCTTCACGATGGGTCCTAGAGTGACCCTAGCCAGATGAGCAAATCACCGAATCTAGAGCAAAAGGCGTATAGCTTTTACTAGACTCAAGTGTATATAATCTAAAATACGAGGAGAATTGCTGTGTCTTTGCTATGTTCTCTCATCCTTTCACTATCATCAAATCGGTGCAAACATGGCCACTTTCGTTGAAACAATCAACATCTTGAGATTCGAGATCATCCCTCGGTTATCCATTCGCGATCAACTCCGTCTTTGTCAAACAAGCAAAGATCTCCACACCGCAACTGTTTCAGTTCTCTACCGCGACATCACCATAACGCACGACGTCGAAGCGCCTGATTCCCCGCCACCTGAGCCCAAGCAGTTGAGACGGCTCGAGAAGATACGCGCGGCGCGCAGAAGGCGTCTACCCTGGGGCGTTGGGTTTCTTTTTGCCATATTGAGTCGACCTGCGCTGAGGAGTCATGTTAAGAGTTTGAGATTTCGGATTGAGAATTATGTTCATGATGAGCATTTTCGTCATACGGGGGAATTGAAGCCTTTGACTTTTCACCCTGTGGAGAATGAGAATGCTCGGCAATTAATTGTTGATGGGATTGAGGAATTGAGCTTTTCTGAAACGGAGAAATTGAATGGGGCGTTTGCGGATCGGGACTTTGATCTTATCTTATCGCTCATCATCGCGGCATGCACTGAAGTCCAGAGTCTTACAATTGACCTTGGATACTTCCTATACAGCCACAAATGGCTCCTCGAGCTGTTCAAGAACTCACTTTCACCTCAAAGCAAGTCACCAAGTCTCCAGAATGTCACGTACTTTGAAGTCGCCAATCCTCGAGGCTGGTTAGGTTACCAGCAACTCCCAAGAGGAATCCACCCGCTTTCATTCTACCTCCCAAACGCTAGAACTCTCTCCCTAGAAAGTTTCGCCAGCCATCGCAAAGGGGAGAACAGTGCATTAGCAGACACGACTCCTTTCTGGCCTCTGTCGCCTGCACCGCAGGCTACCTTTCTCACTACGCTTCATCTGGATCACTGCTCGTCAAACACCCATAACATCACGGCAATGCTTGCACAGACGCCCAATCTCAAGGATCTTTTTTACGCATGTTATCTACCTGCTTTTGAATGCGACTTTGATGTCGATGAGCTGAGAAGAGGACTGGAGCATGTTCGTCAGACCTTGACCAAATTAACGCTCAACTTGACTATTATGCAGAGAGGCCTTATTGATTTCTCCGATCATGATTGGCCATTGACTTACGGCCGTATGGAAGATCTTCGAGAGTTTCTGTCTCTAACAGATCTTGAAATTCCTCTCACTTTTCTCCATGGCCATACAGCATCAGACGATTGGCAACCATTAGCCGATCTCCTGCCACCAAATCTCATCTCTCTCTCCATCAAAGACGAACGATGGAGCGATCATGCCACCTTCCGAGATATCTACACCGAAACAGCAATCCGAGAAATGATGCAGACGTTTCTCAGCTCTGGCTCTAGATCATCTACCCCCAATCTCCGCCACGTCTACTTTTACCGCTACCCCGCGATCTGGGACTATGACAACCTCTCCAAGGGCCCTGAGAAGGAATATTTCGAGGATTGGAAGCCTGTGGATGACGATTACGGCAGTCGATGGGTTCTTGCGGAGAGATAGATCACTTGGTGGAAACAAAAATCGCTTGATGATCTGATCTGTGGAGAATGGACATGTTGTGGTTTCGGGGGTTTGTTTCACCCGCTTTCGCTAGATTCCTGAAACGCGATGAGTTGCAGAAGGGGCAAAACAACAGGACCCCGATTTTGAGACGGCAATTAAGTAATTGTTTGTAGATGGGAATTGGATGGGGAATTTCACATGGTTATTTGATTGCCGAGTCTAGTGTATTTATAGAAATTGATCACGCGACAGCAGCAACTCCTGCTGTCGAGGGAATCGTGGGCGCGACTCAACTTCCAATTAAAACCAAGATGTTTGTTAGGTTATTGATTATTATTTTTTTTATCACATTTACGATAAAACATTCTTCAACTTGGTGGCCGATCCGACATATGCTTTGAGCTGGGGTACAGAAACATCATCTCATCTCGCAATATTCGCAGCAAAAAGACCTCAGTTCAATGCATTCTGTTGAAGAAATTTTTATTCATTCTTGTTTATCATCATTCATCTAAATAGGCCGTAACACCAAAGTTGATTTCATAGCTTGGTTCCAGACCTAAAGCTCATAAGTCGTCAAGACAGCCGCGTGGTCAGAGAACCACTCATTCTCCTTATGGTTAGGCTCAGGCTTAGGCTCGCCAACGACCACGGTATGAGAGTCAGTGACTTTGAGGCCCTTGCCCTTGTGAAGAATAAAGTCAATTCGGTCAAGAGGCTCAGGCTTTCCGTAGCCACCGTTCCAGATGTAGATGGGAGACCATGTAATGCCCTGCTCCTTGACGGGGTCTGGATGAGCCACGCGGAATGAGTCAATGAGGCCCTGCTCTTTGGGGAGGACGGAGGTAGGCCATTGGATGTCAGTGTATCCGCAGTTCTTCTCCTTCAAGCCATCGACATAGTCGAGATGAGAGGGAGCGTTGAAGTCGCCGACGAAGAATACAGGGATATCGTCGGCATTGTCGAGCTGGCTCTTCATTCCCTCAAGGGTAGCCTTCATTTGAGGAGTGCGACCAGACTGGGCTTCTCGCTGAATTATCTTATCGACAGGCAGATGATCATAGCATGTGTCGTAAGGTCCATAGGGAGTATAGCCCAGATGAGCGACAAAGAAGTTGATCTGCTGGTTCTTGCCATCGAGAGCAATCTTGACACCACCGGAGCGAGCAGGACCACTGATGACACCGTAGTCCTCGACGATGGGATACTTGCTAAGAACACCGACATCACCGCCGCTGGACCAGTGGTACCAGCCCAGAGCATCAGCGAGACGGGAAACATGGCGACCCTGCTGGTCTTCCTGAATACCAACAACGTCGGCGCCGGACGAGGCAAGGAACTTGACCTGCTTGTCGTGGTAGCTGGTAACCATAGTACCGCCGTTCCACATGTTGAGAGTCATGACCTTGAGCTGACTTAGAAAAGCCTTGTCAGAGCCAGAGACATTGATGGTGAAGACGCCGGAAGAGGCGGAATCCCTTCCGGTGGCTCGAACGGTGAAAACGGCTTTATCGGCGCTTGAAGTAGGCGTTCCAGAGATGATACCATCAGCGCTGATCTTGATCCAGTCAACATTAGAGCCCTCGCTGGAGAATTTCATGGTGCCACCTCCACCACGGACAAGACCTCTGATGCTATGCGAGTAACCATCACCAACACGAGCATTAGGCAGAGAAATATCAGAAACAATAAACTTCACATCACCATCAAGCTCACGACCCTTGATGATCTGAAGCGGTGGAGCAAGCCACGTGTAACCGCCATTCGCCAGGAAGAAAGCAGTGTAGTTGCCAGGCTCAAGGCTCCCAAAGTCAAGCTGCACATCGCCCTTGTCATGCGGCGCCCACTTCCACTTGATGGAGTTGGACGAGCCCTTCTTCTGGTCCACGGGCCCGCCGCCGGCGCTGTAGTACAGACCAACCCAGTTGGCGAGGTTGGGGGTTGAAGTCTCGTACTCAAACGTCCACAATGGCTTGTCGGTGTTGAGGGATAAAGAACCCGATGCATCCGCGGGTTCTTGGGCTAGGACTGATGGGCAGAGCAGCCACAGGGCTGAAACCACTGCGGTGAGAGGGGATTGGAATCTCATGGTCAAAAGGGATGACCGTTTGGAAAATTGTCTCGTGAGAAATGGGCGGGAAAAAAGAAGTGAAGCTCGCTTAGGCACGCGGCACAGCACAGCACTAGTAGATAAGAAGACAAAGCGGCGTTATCCTCACGACAGAAAAAGCAGGGTATTCACAAAGGGCTTTATATGCTTCAAAAAGGGTCTCAACAATATCAAAAAAGCGAATATCAATATCGATATAGATGTATGGGGAAAAAGAGAGGAATGACCATGCCAAGTTTCGAAACGAGCCAATGCTTGGTTCCCCTCAAGCCACGCACTCGAATGACGTGTGAGCAGTCCGTGTTGGTGCTAGGTCGATCGGCGTCGGACATCTCCACTTGCGGAGACGAGTCCACTTCTTTTCCCGTCTACCGTGTGAGGGGTCCCGTCCCCGAGAGTCACTAGATCCCTATCGTCCGACATCGTGACTCGGCAAGTGGCATCACGAGAGCTTCTCATTGGCCTGGTGATCAGTTGTACAATAGCCTTATCAGATCTGCCGGCTGCCCACTCTAGTTGTAACCCTAAAAATTAAGTCTATCCAGTAAAACTCCGGCGTTGGGGGGACTTTTTGAGATGCGAGTGTAGCACGGCGTTTTTTGTTGTGGCTAGAATGATAACGGTTTGTTTTTTTGCCGCTGGCTTGGCTTCTTGGAAACTGAGACAATAATGAGATGGGGGCCATGGGGGCCATGGGGCACAGGACATCAGGCGGGGGAATTCATTGGACCTCGCAATAGTTGCAGTGGTGGATGTTACCCAAGAGGCTTGGTATGATAGGCTGATATGCTGGTCGCGGGGCCAGAAACGATAAACCTCTTTGTGTTTGGAGGGGGTTGGTAGAATCTGCAGTGTTTTGTTACCCAAGATACGTGTACCTCGAACCATGGATGTCTGCATTTGATCGGAGCAAAAAGACCTGCTGCTGAGATAACGATTTCATAAATGAGGTGGCGAAGTATGATATCTTCAAGGCGGTCTCTTGCATCTCGGCCATTACTGGAATTGAATGACTTTACCCAGTATGCCGCAGGTGAACTATGATAATGTAGACTAACGCTCTAAGCTAGCCAAGCATCTCTCACAAAGGCAAGTGCCTCATCAGCAAAAGAGTCCCATCTCTTCTCATCGAATTCAAAGCCATGATCCTCGCCAGCAACGTGATCGTACCGCACAACAGTCTCTGGTAGTTTCTCAGCCACCAGATCAACAAACTTCTGAGAGCCACGGATGGGCACCGTCGAGTCATCATCTCCATGCATGATCCACCTGCGTCTGGTCAATTTTCTCGTCATTTTCATGTAGCTGGAGTGACTTACATATGCTTGGGCAACTTCGCACCAGCCTCAACTCTCTCGAGAGGATGGAACTCTGTCTTGTCAAGACCCTTATTGTCGAGCATGTGAGATGAGAAAATACCCCGCTGGCAAGCTGCGACTGCGAAGGGAGTCCTCTCGAAGCCAGCTCTTGATTCGGAATCTTTACGCGTCTTTTCGATCCAAGCTAGGGTATCCTCCATGGAAGGAATTTCTTCTAGCGGCATGCGCAACACTGTAGGTTCGTTGGGGAGTGCACCTTCAAGGTAAAGTCTGTCTTTGGTGTCTAGCAGAGGATACACGACAGCAAGAGAGTGAAAGTCGTCAGGGTGAGAGAGCGCAAGCTGAGTAGAGCAATATCCACTAACAAGAGCGTCAGAAACAAGCCTTGATGACTTTTGTGAGATGACTTACCCCGCTGATCCGCCAGCAAGAAGGACATGTGAGAAATCAATAGAGTGACCAGGAGCCTTCTCCTCCAAGATTTTGGGCAAGATATTCTTTGTCCACTGCCATCCATCTTCGACATCCTCCAGAACGTCATCCAGACCATTCGCTGAAGGCAAGAGTCTGTAATCGGGGGAGACGATAATGGCAGAGTTTTGGAGCGCAAGCTTGTCGACCCACTTTGGGAAGAAAGGGGCAAACAAGCCACTCCCCATGACCAGAAAGCCACCGTGAATGTGATAGATGATTGGGTGGTGACCTGGCTTGAGGTTCTTGGGGATCAGAATGGCTGTTTTGATATCATGAGATGAGACAGTCTTGAATCTTTGGCGAAGTCAGCTATTGATCAAAGTGTCTGATGATTTAGAACTTACGTCTCTTCGATGATGTTGTAAGACTCAAAAACTGAGTCGTCGTTCCAGGGAATAGACATGATGCTAAATAGTTTCGTAGTCAGGTCTTGAGCTTAGTGTAGAAGCAGAGAGCTGGTCGAAGTTGGTTTGTTCTCATTATTCGAGACATGATTCGAATATATATAGTTCGTCCAGACGGACGTTGACTTGTAAGATTTCGAAGCGGAATATTGTGTCCCTTGTGAATAAGGTCTTACGACTTTCGTCGTCATCCACTTGCAGGGCTCGTTAGTAATGCGAGCTCCGTAGTCTCAGCAATCCAATTAATAAGGCGGAAGCTGATGCTCCGTCTCTAGTAATCATGCATGCTCCACTTTAACGGAAGAGAACCACCCGCTCACTGACATCCATTGAAGAGCCAGGATAAAGCTGACATCAAGAAAAGATAAAAAGAAACAACATATCTTCAAAATTTCAATTAACTCTAAGAAATTAAGAGCCTTCGAATAATTGCCCTAATACTCATTTCAAGATGCATCTCTCTTCTCATACCTGGATGCGGCCCGAGCCTCTTGAGCAGACCCTCCAAAGACTCGTCCGTATCGGTTACACCAGCATTGAACTAGCCGGCGAACCCGATCAATTCCCCATTGACTCAACCCGCTATCTTCTTCAAAAATACGACATAAAATGCTGGGGAACCGTCACAGTCATGCACGGCAAGCGAAACCTCCTCGCCTCAGATCCTCAACAACGACGAGATACCATCGAATACATGAAGCAAGTCGTCAATATGTCCGCTGAGCTCGGCGGCCAAATCACTACAGTCGTTCCTAGAACAGTTGGCACTATTGTTCCTTCTTCTACACCGGAGAATGAGTGGCAGTGGGCTGTAGAGGGTCTTCGCGAAGTTGCTGCTTTTGCGCAGCGGAAGGGTATCAAGATTGGTCTTGAACCGTTGAATAGGTTTGAGACGTACTTCCTCAATCGCTCAAACCAAGCTCTCGCCCTCGCGGATGAGATTGGATACGGCGTTGGTATCGCCTTTGATCCATTCCACCTTGCGCTCGAGGAGAAGGATCTTATCGCCGCTATTCACGCATGCAAATCGCGCATTGTTGATTTTCACGTAGGCGATAATAACCGACTCGCGCCAGGGGATGGATCTTTCGACTGGCCCAATATCATGAAAGCTCTCGCTGCAGCTGGGTATGATGGTGGGTTGGCTGTTGAGTTTATGCCCTCTATTGATCGAACGCCTGTTGGGGATTATGGCAAGGCTCAGCTGGAGACGGGAGTGGTGGATGTTACACCTGATCAATTACAGTTTATTATCGATCACGGGTCAGGGTTGCTGTCTGAGACTTATTACACTGAACTTTTGAGGAGATCGGCTGAGACTTTGGCACCATATGTTGAGAAATAGACTATGATGAGCCAGGGAGGATTAGCTGGGTCATCCATGAAAAAAAACATTCTCTTTTCCAATATGCGTTTCAAAGAAATGATGGCTTTTTTATTGAACTTGGGTATCGTATGCTAGTTGCCCTTCTATCTAAGCGCCCCGAATGCCGTCTAGTATTTTCGCCAGTAGTAGAAGCACAGAAATGCTCAATCATGTCGCCAAACCATATTGACATTTTATCTCCATTTCCTTGCTTCCTACTCTATCGATTTGCAAATTTTCTTGCTGCATCGTACTCTCAACCGAATAAAAAGTGCAAAACCTTCTCGAACCAGTTTCTGCGAGTTGCTTAGCATTTTTCCGTTCTTTAAAGAGGCAGATGTACATACGCTGGTGGTTTAGCCACATAGTTTCTCTCATACTCCTCAATCGGAGCCAAGTTATGTCGTAGATCAATCTCGTTTGGCTTGATGATCTTTGTTTTGTGGGCAATCTTCCATCCGACATAAAACACTGGGAACAATCCAACCGATGTGTATCTGTGGCGGTCAGTTGTGTAATAGTCGGTTCGGCAAAGATACTTACGAGAACAAGAAGCTAGGGATATCCCACATTCCTGGCAGGAAAACAGTATATCCTCCAACGAACACCATAATAAAAGTCGCAACTAGTCCGACGTACGCCGCATATGGCATGAACCACGCGCGATAAGGCAAGCTCGAGCGGTCGAATCCCTGCACCTTTGTTGCACGATAAAAGCAAAGGTATGTAAGACAGATGACGGAGAAGTTGATCAGCTGAGAGGCTGTGACCAAGGACACAAACCAACTCAGAACAACAGCTGAGCTATTAGACAGCTGAAGGAAAGACAGCAAAGCGATGAGCAGCACCACAAAGACGCAGTAAATGGGAACACCGGTCCTGGTACAGATCTTCAGGAACCTCGGTGCTTTCCCTTCAAGCGCAAGGCCATACAAAGATCTCGTCGCACAAAACACATAGGAGTTGCCGGCGGAGAACGCCGACACCAAAATCATGGCGTTGACGATATGCGGCAGAACCCGGATCCCAAGACGGTCCATGGCGATAACGTACGGTGAAGCAGCGGCTCCGGACTTGCCATCCCTGAAAGCAGCAATCATGTTTGGGTCATCGTAAGGCACTAGGATGCCGACGCAGAGGGATCCAAGCACGAAGAAGAAGGTCAGTCGGTAAAACACCGTCTTGAAAGCCCGGGGCAGAATCTTGCGAGGGTTTTCGGCTTCTCCAGCTGCCATGGCGACGTAATCGGGCCCAGCGATAGAAAAGGCTGCTTGGATGAGACAAGCCAAAAAGCCCACGAATTTACCTAAAGCACCGTCGTAGTAAAGCTCCGCAAATGCGCCTGGGCTCTTCCAGTAGGTAAATCCGAACGCGTCCTTCTGCGGATTCCCACCAACCATGACGATAAACGTAAAGAAGATGAGGCCAACGATCAGAATGACTTTTCCAATAGCGGCCCAAAACTCGGTCTCGCCGAAATACTGAATCGCCATGAGATTGATGAGCGCATACAGTACGATAATCACAGCGATAGTAGCGCCCACAGGAATCGCATCGGTCCAGAACTGAAGAATGAAATGACAAGCTGTGACTTCGAAAGGTACAAGCGCAGCTTCGAAGATGAAGAAATTCCAGCCGGAAGCAAAACCGAGAGCTTCGTCGACGTAGACACCGGCAAATCGGACGAACGGAGAAGAGATTGGCGTGTAAGAGACCATTTCGGCGATGCACATTGTGATAGTGAGGACGATTAGACACCAGAAGGAGAAGGCGATGAAGAGACTTCCTGGACCGCCCTGCATTAGACCTTTGCCGATTTGGACCTGAGAACATTAGCCATGGATTGATTGTTGTGTTGGGGGCTCAGTAGTAGAGTTGAGTTGAAGGCAACATACAAAAAGAACAGTGCCGATTGTCCCTCCAATTCCAATAAGTTGGATATGCCGGCCCTTGAGCCTTCTATGCGTTTCATCGCCATAGACAGTCCGAACTCCAAGCTGATCCTCGGTGGTGAGCTGAGGCGCTTCGGATTTAGAATCCTTTTCGGGATCGGGAATAGCAGCCATCTCAGCTGATGTCGCGTGCTCACAGCCAAAATGAGAAGTGATACTTTTGAGAGGACCTGGTTAAAAAGGATAAAAATACCGCAGCCGAGGTTTTTTATCTGCTTCGTCCCTTGTGTAACTACTTATTTTATTTTTTTTGTGCCTTCACCCCATACGGAGTAGGCCGAGGTCTGCGGGGATGATTGGAGCGTTACATTTATTGGGGATCAACCCTTAAAAAG